GGGTCATCCTGGTCACTGTTAAGGGTAACCTTCCAGTTAAGGAAGTGTTGGCCCTCAGGATCCAAGTCTATTCCCGCGCCCTTCGAAAGAGCTCGATCCACCATGTGAAAGCAGACCGGGTGGTAGGGCAATTGCTATTTAGCCAGTTGAATGTGTTTCTCGCCAGGGTTGTGGCATCTATTTGTCTTGTCGAAGGTACACTGAGTTCCATCTGCTTGGGGTGTGCCTGAAGGAGTAGTGGAATTCCTTCTTTGGTTTGGAATTCAATCATTGCTCGTACTGCTTTGTATATTACGTTGTCCGCTTTGTTCAGTACTATTTTTGAGACCTCGATAGCATTAAATATTATGTCAATAAGTGGTTTCCCTTCTGTCTCAATGATTTCAATTTTATTTATCGCACGAAGGTTAGCCATATCAGGCTCGCTGATTCGATCTAGTCGTTTCTGGATTTGCTCCAGTTTGACTAGTCTGGTATCTTTCGTGTATCGCTTGTTAGTCACTTCGTGCCCACTGGACACGTCCAGACCCAAATGCCTGTAGGTGTCTCCCCTTTTGACTCTTTGGACAACATTCCCTTGTAGGCAGATATCGAGGTCCCAATTTCTCCGTACCCCTTCGGTGTATTCTTCTGCAAAGAAAGCGCACTTATCCATTCCACATCTCATGGTTGCCCATGACATCTTGGCATCCGATATTTCGATCATCTTGGTGATATCCTCCTTATTGTCGGATAACCTCAATTGGTCGTCGATATAATCAAGCAGTGGTACTCCGGTTTCAACATTTTCCAAAGAGTATCCTTTGGTTTCTTTTTCAATCCACTTGGACTCTGTATCTTTTGCCACATTGAATGTGAGAACTGAGATCGTGTTGCCCTGGGATACCCCTCTTTTCACCTCTAGGGGGCGTGAGTATTTTCCATTGACGCAAAAGATTACCCTATTCCCTGTGCATGTGCTAAGCCATAGTTTTTCGAGCTCTTTCGGGACTCCCGTGAGGTTAATTATTTTCTTTATAAGCCCAAGTTGCAACGAAGGGAAGGCCGACTTGAGGTCCTTAAAAACCCCCACAATGGGTTTACTTCTCCTTCGAGCATCCTCAAGGCAAGTTTGGACATTCATAGAGCTGTCAGCACATCCCTGGATAGGATACCCTTTCGGGTGCCCCGTTGGGAGTTGCTCCAGTTTTCGTTCTCATTCATTTGTGTTTCAATCCTCATAGTGAGGACCTTGGATAGGACCGTGAAACACGCTGGGAGTAATGCCACTGGCCGGTAGCTTCCCGGTAGGTTTAAGTCTTTCCCGCTTTTTGGCAGTAGGACTGTTATCCCGACCTTCCATGCTTTCGGGATCTGTCCCTCATCTGCGAGGATGTTGAACAACACCGTCCAATAGGTCAGCAACCCGTTTCGACAACACTGCTGCCAAATTCGATTGCTGATTCCATCGTACGCAGGTGCCTTCTTCCCATGTGTCTCTTTCAAGGCTTTCAATACTTTTGTCCGAGTGAATTTGGTGTGCTGCGTATGTTGTTCTCTACCCCTCCACAACTCCGCCAAGTACTCCTCTCCTTTAGGGAAAGGCGGGAGGTCGCCCGGTTCGAGTTGGTCCCCATCCATTTCAGCTCCCCAATGATTAAAGGGTTCTTCAACTGGCGTGGGGGTTTCGTCGTCCGTTGCATTTTCCCATAGTCTTTGGTGGAACTTATGTTGGTCCAAGTGGTACAGGGCATTAATATATGTACCATGCTTGAAGTAGAGTTTCCGTCGAGCTCTATCTCTCATCTCACCTCCTGGGCCTTTCACGGTCATCCGAGCTCTGTTTGCACTTCCAAATGTCTCAATTGTAGATTTGTTGAGCATCCATCGAATGATGAGGTCCACTTTTTGAAAATGCGCGAGCGGGTATTTATTTCGTTTACCCTTTTTAAGTTCATTCATTCCCAATTTAAGGATAAGCTTTGAGTCGCTCCTGAATTGGGATAACTTTAGGCGATTGTTAATGTCCTAGCGTGCAACCCTCCCAAATTCCAAGCACGTTCAAATGTCGCTTTCCTATCTGATAATATCCCTTGTGGTTTATCGGCATTGAGTTCGCCGTTGCATGGGTTATAGGCCCCGTGTCTGCCCCTTTGCTTACTTGATCAGGAGAAATTCTTTAGGGATACCGCCTCCCAACTGTTGTCCCTGCACCTGGTTTGTGGCACCAGGACCACCGAATCTGTTTGAGGGGCTGCCGCAGCTGTGTTTCGGCTCCCCGACCGGTTTTTTAATGGTTCCCACATTTTCGAAGATTTTCCTCCATCAGTGCATGAAGTGCTCTTGAATTCTGACACCTCTTGGCTTCCCTTTAGGGTCGGTCTGTTCCCCCCTTTTTGCTTTTCTTGGAACGAGGGGTATCGGTTGGTTCGGCATTCCACACGAATGATAGGCATATCTCACTCGCCTCGGGGGGGATTGGAGGGTCACTATGCCGTTCGAGTGTTGGGCAAAACATCACGCTCTCTCGGTTTGACTCCCAACCCGGTCCTCGAGGGGGTACATTGGTCCTTCCGATTCTGCCGAGGGGATGCCGCTCTGACTCCCGATTCCCTCATCAGAGGGTCTCTGATGTCTTTGCGGTGTTACCCATTCCAATGCTGACACCTCTTGGTTTCCCTTTAGGGTGGTCCGTTTGCCCCGTTTTGCTTGCTACTTCTCTCGATTTTTCGCACTGCCGTGGGGATGCCACTTTGACTCCTAATTGCCTCGTTAGAGGGTCTCAGATGTTTTTGCGACATTGCCCCTTCCAATTCTGACACCTCTTGGCTTCCATTTAGGGTCGGTCCGTTCTCCCCTTTTGTTACGCACTTCCCGTGAGGGTAATATCGAGTGGATCATGTGTGGGCWCATATATAGAGTATATGGCCCGGTTGATATGATGCTCCTGGCTGGCTTCTGTTGTTACTAACATATGTTATGTGACAAGTCTTTATTACCGTCTTAGACGAGGCTTGCTCTCATTTTCATGACGGCAGTCTTGGGCTAGTTGTCTAAGTCGTTGAAAGGGGCTATACCCACTCCCAACACAGGATGGTTTAGGGGGAGCCAATGCTCATAGAGCGCTAGGTCTTCCCTTTGTTGCCCTCCAGCGGTAAAGAGGGCAGCCCGTTTCACAGACCTGTTCGCTAGTTTTCTAAGACGTTAAGGGCTGCACCCACCCTCAGCGCAAGGCGAGAACTTTGGGGAGTCTATACGCCTGAATCGTTAGACTTTCCCCTTGTTGCTCTCTTCCACTGGGGTGAGGGCAACCCTTTTTCCACAGACCTGTCATGCAACATGCTAATTACTAACTATTCTGCCACACTAAGTTGTATGGCTCTCCCGTGCCCTCCACATCCACACGAATGCAAGGGTCGAGCTCCAAGACTCACCCCAACAAGCGAAGAGGCGGGTGGGCAAGATCGCCGAGGGGCAGGCAGGGAAGACCCGTAACCTGTCTCACGACGGTCTAAGCCCAGCTCACGTTCCCTCTTGGTGGGTGAACAATCCAACACTTGGTGAATTCTGCTTCACAATGATAGGAAGAGCCGACATCGAAGGATCAAAAACCAACGTCGCTATGAACGCTTGGCTGCCACAAGCCAGTTATCCYTGTGGTAACTTTTCTGACACCTCTAGCTTCAAGTCCTGAAACGCTAAAGGATCGATAGGCCATGCTCTCACAGTTTGTATTAGTACTGGAAGCTTTTGCCCTTTTGCTCCACACGAGATTTCTGTTCTCGTTGAGTTCATCTTACGACACCTGCGTTATCTTCTAACAGATGTGCCGCCCCAGCCAAACTCCCCACCTGACAATGTCTTTCGCTTGGATCGGACAGGNGACACCTGCGTTATCTTCTAACAGATGTGCCGCCCCAGCCAAACTCCCCACCTGACAATGTCTTTCGCTTGGATCGGACAGGCCACGAGGGCCTGTACCTTGGATCGAGAAGAAGGGGCAGAGCCCCGGCTCCACCTCACGAAATAAGTAAAATAATGTTAAAAGTAGTGGTATTTCACTTGCGCTGTAAGGGTCCCACTTATTCTACACCTGTCAAGTCCTTTCGCAGAGTCGAACTAGAGTCAAGCTCAACAGGGTCTTCTTTCCCCGCTGATTCCCCTCGCTATGGTTTCGCAGGATGGTAAATAGGGACAGTGGGAATCTCGTTAATCCATTCATGCGCGTCACTAATWAGATGACGAGGCATTTGGCTACCTTAAGAGATTCATAGTTACTCCCATCGTTTAGCCGCGCTTGGTTGAATCTCTTCACTATGACATTCAGAGCACTAGGCAGAAATCACATTGCGTCAACATCCGTTGGGACCATCGCAATGCTTTGTYTTAATTAAACAGTCGGATTCCCCTTTTCGGCATCAGTTTTGAGTCGGCAGTTTGATGCTTAGGGAGAGACCCACAGCCCCACCCGAAAGGTGGGGACATAAGACATTCTACGCCCGTCGGCACAGTGGCACGCGGGCTCCGCCCTCGCCGCGAGAGCAGCTCAGGCAGACCACCGGCAGCCAACGACAACGAGGCGCAGACCCCTCGGCCCAGCCCTCAGAGCCAATCCTTTTCCCAAGSTTACGGATCCATATTGCCGACTTCCCTTACCTACATTCTTCCTTTGACCAGAGGCTGCTTACCTAGGAAACCTGATACGGTTTTGAGGACGGTCGGGCGTGAGAGGTACCCGCAGCTCCAGATTTTCAAGGGCCGTCGGGGGCGCGCTGGACACCACADGACGCGCGGTGCTTTGCCGGGCGCTGCACCCTATCTCCAGTTGATCCGATTCCAGGGTGGGCGAGCCGTCAAGAAGGAAAGACAACCCGCCCCACTGCCCCCGCCAGCATCACCGGAGCTGCTTACGTTACCGTCCACCTCCACAACCCGGTTCGGGAATATTAAACAGAACCCCTTTCAAAGTGCGGCGCGCAGTGCGCCCTTGATACAAGGTTTCCACATCTCTTAGGGCCGACTGACCCATGTCCAAGCGCTGTTCACATGGAACCCTTCTCCACTTCGGTCTTCAAAGTTCTCATTTGAATATTTGCTACTACCACCAAGATCTGCACCGGGACGCGCTTCACCTAGGCTCACGCTCCACGCTTCGCAGCAGGCCCCGCGCATCAGAATCGCTGCGACGGCCGAGCATAGGTCGCGCGCTTCAGCGCCATCCATTTGCGGGGCTAATTGATTCGGCAGGTGAGTTGTTACACACTCCTTAGCGGATTTCGACTTCCATGACCTCCGTCCTGCTGTCTGTATCAATCAACACCCTTTGTGGTGTCTGGGTTAGCGCGCAGTTTGTCACCGTAGCTCAACTTTCGGTTCATCCCACATCGCCAGTTCTGCTTACCAAAAATGGCCCACTTSGAGCTTTCATTGATCCTCGGGGTTCGCTTAAGCAACCCCGAAATCTTACCTATTTAAAGTTTGAGAATAGGTCGAGGGTGTTTCACCCCCGAGGCCTCTAATCATTCGCTTTTCCCGATAAAACTGTTCAACAACTGCAGCTATCCTGAGGGAAACTTCGAAGGGAACCAGCTACCAGACGGTTCGATTAGTCTTTCGCCCCTATACCCAAGTCCGACGAACGATTTGCACGTCAGTATCGATGCGAGCCTCCACCAGAGTTTCCTCTGGCCTCGCCCTGCTCAGGCATAGTTCACCATCTTTCGGGTCCCAACGGGCATGCTCACACTCAAACCTCTCACATTAGATCGTGGTTGGCGGACGGTGCACCCACAGAGGGTTCCCGCCACTCAGGTTTCTTCCGCCTCGTGGGCTAATCACATTGGCTCGCATGCATGTTGAACTCCTCGGTCTGTGTTTCAAGACAGGCAGGATAGAGAAATTTCACCAGCATCCTGAACACGCAGGAACCCGAACGGGCCCGCCGAAAGAGGCGCGTGCTCAAGGTCCTCGACTGCCGTGACGGCCACCCGTGGGGGGTTTTAATCGCTCCCCACCGCAATGCCGGTCACAGCAGCCCATGCTGGCAGGCGCCCCACGTCCAACAAGGAAAGCGACAACACATTCGGAGTCCACCCTTGCCCAGACGGGAGTGCACGACTTCCCCTCCATCCGCTTCTCGCTCGGCAATTTCAAGCACTATTTAACTCTCTTTTCAAAGTTCTTTTCATCCTTTCCTCGCTGTACTTCTTCGCTATCGGTCCCTCCAACATATCTAGCCTTGGATAGGACTTACCACCCAATTGGGGCTGCATTCCCAAGCAACCCGACTCTTGGACAACACCTCGTTGCGCAGCAGGGTCCGGCGGTCGACGGGGCTGTCACCCTCTTCGGCGTCCGCTTCCAGGGAACCTGCACACGGCCCGCTGCAGAGGTTGCCTCTCAAGACTACAATTCAGGGAGCARCACAGCCCCCGGATTTTCAGTCTGGGCTATTCCCGGTTCGCTCGCCGCTACCAAGGGAATCCTCGTTGGTTTCTCTTCCTCCGCTTAGTTATATGCTTAAATTGGGCGGGTGCTCCCRCCCGACCTGAGATCAAAAGGCAAGGTCCGACATACCTCCACAGCTCGAGGCCGACACCCCCAACCGCAAGCCCACCTCAAGCTGATCGGAGCGAACGGAAGGCCGCGACCACACAAACCGGAGGGACGACCWTACGTGCCGTTTTCAGGGAAATGAAGACCACCACCCAGAAACGGGTGCTGGAGGGTAACAACACAGCGGAGCGAAACGCACCACTCAGGGCTGCGGCCCCCACAGGCCCGCTCGGAATGCTCTCCAATTCCCTTCCACTTTAGGATATCGACGCTCTCCAAGTGGGAAGCCAGGGAAGCCACGACCACGGACCCCACCACTCTCCGAAATTGAAGGTGCTGAGGTCGTGAGGAATCCAATGATCCTCAGGCGAGCGTGCCCTCGGCAGAAGCCTTGGGCGCCACGTGCGYTCAAGGTATCGATGGCTCACGGATTTCTGCAATTCATATTGAGTATCGCATTTCGCTGCGATCGTTATCGTTGCGAGGGGCAAGATATTCGTTTGCCGAGAGTTCTACAATATGGTGCCGTTCCGACAGGACCGACCACTCCACCAAAACAGAAGGGGGCCGTCAACCCGGACAGCGGCAAATCAGAGAAGGTACATCAATAAGACGTTGCAAAGTCGTCGCCACAAGCCGCTGCCACGGGCCCGCCCAACCCCCCGTTCGGGGGGCAGGGCACGGCACCATGGAGCAGCGGGGCAACAAGGGTGCAAGGCGCTGTCTCCTCGCCCCCCACCCAACCCGACACCACCCCGTTCACGACCAAAACCCTCCCCCAACGGCCCCCCACCCCGAGATTCAGACCACCTCGACTGTGTTAAGCACGACGATCTGTCTGGAAAGGAGAACCGCGTTGGGAAGGAAGGCAGGACGAAACGGTGAGGGGCCGAGGACCCCGCAACACACCCCGCCCCTAGCCTGTACCACGACCCTTGATCTTCAAACAAGCCACAAGCTCCGCACGAAGCCGAGGTCGAGGCCGGGATGGAAAGGAAGTCTGGACAAAGCTGAGATGGGAAGGAGATGGGGTACGCAGGCCGAGGGCAGCCGCCACCACCCGACATCCCGCCCCTGACCCTCCCGCAGGGCTGTCCGTGCYCGGACCAACCGCCATCCCGACCAGAAGTCGAGAGTGTGGCTGTGCCAAGGTAACAACCTGCGGAGGCGAGACGGGATGAAGGGGGAACAACGCCACAAGCCCCCGGACCCTGCCCACTCCCCCCACCCTCGACCTACACCACGCGCCCCTCTGCGCCGGGCCAGCCGCCAGCTGGGCACTAAGCCCAAGATGGTGCTAAAACGGAAGAGAAAAGCGGATGCTGGGAGGATGGGAGCAAAGGGCAGCGGAAGAGCGAGCAAGCCAGCGTCCCACACCCCGAAGATCGGCCATTCACGTGTSAATGATCCTTCCGCAGGTTCACCTACGGAAACCTTGTTACGACTTTTCCTTCCTCTAAATGATAAGGTTCAATGAACTTCTCACAGCGACCCCAGCGGCAAACCACCGAGATCACCGCAATCCAGACACTTCACCAGACCATTCAATCGGTAGGAGCGACGGGCGGTGTGTACAAAGGGCAGGGACGTAATCAGCGCGAGCTGATGACTCGCGCTTACTAGGCATTCCTCGTTCAAGATCGATAATTACAACAATCTATCCCCGTCACGATGAACCTTAAGAAGGTTACCCGGGCCTTTCCACCCTGGCAAGCGACTCGTTGGATTCATCAGTGTAGCGCGCGTGCGGCCYAGAACATCTAAGGGCATCACAGACCTGTTATTGCCTCAAAATTCCGTTGGCTAGTCGTCCAATAGTCCCTCTAAGAAGCTGGCCACGAGGAAAGGTCCCCGCGTAGCTATTTAGCAGGCTGAGGTCTCGTTCGTTAACGGAATTAACCRGACAAATCACTCCACCAACTAAGCACAGCCATGCACCACCACCCATAGAATCAAGAAAGCGCTCTCAATCTATCAATCCTTCCTATGTCTGGACCTGGTGAGTTTCCCCGCGTTGAGTCAAATTGAGCCGCAGGCTCCATGCCTGGTGGTGCCCTTCCGTCAATTCCTTTAAGTTTCAKCCTTGCGACCATACTCCCCCCGGAACCCGTAAACTTTGATTTCTCGCAAGGTGCTGGCCTCTTCATCCAATAGACATCCGCCAATCCCTAGTCGGCATCGTTTATGGTTGAGACTAGGACGGTATCTGATCGTCTTCGATCCCCCAACTTTCGTTCTTGATTAATGAGAACGTCCTTGGCAAATGCTTTCGCAGAAGTTCGTCATCCATAAATCCAAGAATTTCACCTCTCACAATGGAATACGAATGCCCCCAACCGTCTCCATTAATCATTACTCCAATCATGAAGACCTACGAAATAGGACCAGAGTCCTATCACGTTATTTCATCCCTATATGTTCAGAGCACAGGCCTGCCTTGAACACTCTAATTTTTTCAAAGTAACAGCGCCGGCTCTGGATCCTTGCCAATAAAGGCAAGGAACGCATACCCGGCAAGAAAGGCGAAAGGGCCGGTACACGCCCGCAAGAGCGGACCAACCCCTCCCACCCAAAATCCAACTACGAGCTTTTTAACTGCAACAACTTAAATATACGCTATTGGAGC